TATACAGAATGGGCGAAAGGGATGACCAAAGAGTTCTCCTCAACAAATATTCACATTTAGCATAAATCACCACCAGCACTATAGTGACTCCTTTCCAATCCAAAGTTACTTCCAAGAATTGATTAGTAGCTTCTATCAATGTATAGCTATGATTACCAGGAAGACATAGCCAAACCTTTCCGCCTTCACTTTCATTGGAACAGTCCTGGAAGAGGCCTAACTTTCGGGCAAAATGAGAAGCTTTGTCAGAAGGTAACATAGGTTTAAGGATGGCTAGAAATGCAATATTATACTTTTTATAAATTAATTTAAGGTGGGGGTTGTAGTGGCATTGCCAACCCCCTTAGCATTGCATACAAAGAATGCACTCACCAGAGGAACAATTGTGGGATATCTCTGACCAGCAGGTCTCTGGTCAGAGATGTGATGGAGCTTCCTATTGTGTCGGTTATTAGCTCTGATATCAGGAGTATCTGAGTCTGAGCGATAAATCTCATCCCTCTCGGGTTTTAAGGTCTGGTCATCACCGACCTGCCTTGGGGCTTCTAAGTTTAATGTATGAAATAAAGCATCAAAGGAATTGCCTATCGGAATGTTATCCATTTCTTGAGAGGGGATCATGTTCTGGGGTGAAGCCAAAGCTCTCCTTTTTACCGGAAGAAAATCTCCATTTTGAAAAGCTCCAGTTTCAGCAATTATAACTTTCTCTGACATGTTATTGTGACTCATTTCTCCAGTGCAGTTATCTTTAGCCCCCGTTTGGCACCCATTTTTCCTCATTCTCATTCTTTTTCTCTTTCTTCATTTCAACCACACATTCTATGTATAAAATAATATTACACATAAACCTAAAAATTCTCATTACTTTTTAACCACACATTCTTACATCAATCACTGTTCAAAAACACATTTTTCTACTAAAATGGATGTCAAACACCCGCTTAATTTGGTTTTCTTCTTCCATAATAGTATTATACGTATATGGAGACTTATTGACTTGTTCTTCATCATGTTCAACAAATTCATCAGGAGTGGGGTTGCAGTTTAGATTTTGAGTATTAGCAAGTGCAACTTGATTTTTCGGCTCACTTCAACACTACCATTTTTTCCATTATCCTTTGCATCATTTGTGTCCTGTTTCTTATCTCCCTCTGCCTGAACATCTACTTTCAATTTACTCATGTTATCAGTAGGCGCTAAGGTATTGATTTTTGAATCTTTTTGTTTGGAATCCAATACATTGTAATGTTGTTTATTCAATCGCTTGCAATCATATTTTTCATGACCATGTAACCTGCAATGCACACAGTATTTAGGTGATCTCTTATACACAACCTCTTGCCAAAACCCGTCACCATTATCTGATCCAATCTAGATAACATCTACCCTAGCTACAAAGACATTGATTTCAATAAACTCTAGCATAACTAGGTCTAGTAAACGTTATTGCTGGGAGATCAGTATCCAGAAATTTACCAGGTGGCTTCAAAATAGCTTGCAAATAGGAAGGTATGCAAAAATTTGATGGAAGGAGAGGTAGTCTAATCCATACCGGAGTGACTGGAGACTTCTCTTTAGCATTGAAATCCCTAGACCATTTGAATAGCCTAAATAACGAACCTTCAATGGAGTGAGAATCCCTCGTCCAAGCTTTAGAGAAATCCTCTGCATTTTGAAGTTTAATAGGACATGGTGTCTGTCAATGAAGCTGGCGATTAGAATAGCTGATAACCCCCATTTGGTGCTGATATGATGTCTAATAACATCCATTCTAGGTCGAGATTTGGAGAATTTTGCGATGAGGGCATATTGCAGGGGAGTTTCGGACCTCTGAAGTTCGAGAGGGGAAAAGACCACCACGTGCTTCCCTTCCTTCCATTGTGGCTGCCTTAATGAGACAGCTACATCCATTACCGGTATTGAGGAGAGATCGTGTCGAATAAGTGAAGAAGAGACTGCTGTTGCGTAAGAAATTGGGAGATCTGTGGAGGGTGAATGATTGTTCGAATTGGGTGGTGCAATGGCTTTCCCATGGCCAGGAGGTTTAGCCATGGTGCCGAATTTACCCCACCAAGAGAGCGGCGTCAGTAGATCTAGGGTTGCCGGAAGAAGAGGCGTAGCTATTTTAGGAAAGGTTCTCAGAGAACATTTCTTTCAGTAGAAGTGGGATTCCCGAACTGCGTCAATTAGAGGATTGTCTTGTTGAAATTGAGTGTTGTGGAGAAAGAACATTTAGGAGTTTGATGAATACTAGGGTTTCACTGCTAAATGTTCTTACTCAATAACTTGGAAGAAAAAGTCGACGATCAAAAAGGGAAATAAAATTTGAGACTATCTAGATTCAAAAACTTTATTAAAGTCCACACCTATTTTTTTCTCATTCTCATTTTTTTTCTCTTTCTTCATTTCAACCACACATTCTATCAATAAAATAATATTACACATAAACCTAAAAATTCTCATTACTTTTTAACCACACATTCTTACATCAATCACTGTTCAAGAACACATTTTTCTACTAAAATGGATGTCAAACACCCCCTTAATTTGGGTTTCTTCTTCCATAATAGTATTATACGTATCTGGAGACTTATTGACCTGTTCTTCATCATGTTCAACAAATTCATCAGGAGTGGGGTTGCAGTTTAGATTTTGAGTATTAGCAAGTGCAACTTGATTTTTCGGCTCACTTCAACACTACCATTTTTTCCATTATCCTTTGCATCATTTGAGTCATGTTTCTTATCTCCCTCTGCCTGAACATCTACTTTCAATTTACTCATGTTATCAGTAGGCACTAAGGTATTGATTTTTGAATCTTTTTGTTTGGAATCCAATACATTGTAATGTTGTTTATTCAATCGCTTGCAATCATATTTCTCATGACCATGTAACCTGCAATGCACACAGTATTTAGGTGATCTCTCATACACAGCCTCTTGCCAAAACCCGTCACCATTATCTGATCCAATCCAGATAACATCTACCCTAGCTACAAAGACATCGATTTCAACATAAACTCTAGCATAACTAGGTCTAGTAAACGTTATTGCTGGGAGATCAGTATCCAGAAATTTACCAAGTGGCTTCACAATAGCTTGCAAATAGGAAGGTATGCAAAAATTTAATGGAAGGAGAGGAAGTGTAATCCATACCAGAGTGACTGGAGACTTCTCTTTTGCATTGAAATCCCTAGACCATTTGAATAGCCTAAATAACGAACCTTCAATGGAGTGAGAATCCCTCGTCCAAGCTTTAGAGAAATCCTCTGCATTTTGAAGTTTAATCAAGACATGGTGTCTGTCAATGAAGCTAGCGATTAGAATAGCTGATAACCCCCATTTGGTGCTGATTCCATTCTAGGTCGAGATTTGGAGAATTTTGCGATGAGGGCATATTGCAGGGGAGTTTCGGACCTCTGAAGTTCAAGAGGAGAAAAGACCACTGCGTGCTTCCCTTCCTTCCATTGTGGCTGCCTTAATGAGACAGCTACATCCATTACCGGTATTGAGGAGAGATCGTGTCGAATAAGTGAAGAAGAGGCCGCTGCTGCGTAAGAAATTGGGAGATCTGTGGAGGGTGAATGGTTGTTTGAATTGGGTGGTGCAATGGCTTTCCCATGGCCAGGAGGTTTAGTCATGGTGCCGAATTTACCCCACCAAGAGAGCGGCGGCAGTAGATCTAGGGTTGCCGGAAGAAGAGGCGTAGCTATTTTAGGAAAGGTTCTCAGAGAGCATTTCTTTCGGTAGAAGTGGGATTCCCGAACTGCGTCAATTGGAGGATTGTCTTGTTGAAATTGAGTGTTGTGGAGAAAGAACATTTAGAAGTTTGATGAATACTAGGGTTTCACTGCTAAATGTTCTTACTCAATAACTGGGAAGAAAAAGTCGACAATAAAAAAGGGAAATAAAATTTGAGACTTGAAGAATCCGCTAAAACTATTTGCTTGGAGTCCCTAAAACATCTCTAATCAAAGTAGAGAGTGCAAATAATGCTTTTTGGACAGTTTTATTTATTTGTTTTTTTCTTCTCTATCTTTGTTGCAGCAAATTTTTTTTTTTTTTTAATTTTTTTCTCCAGTTGGTGAATTGTTCTTCGCGTTATGGATGGATCTGAATCCTCAACCAAACAAGTTGAAACAAATTCCTTTCGCTAAACAATATTATTTGTACTAGATCGAGTTGAGATAGAATGTTATTTAAAAATATTTGCTCAAACTTTGCAACCGAAAAAAAGGAAAATATTATGAATAACAAGTTCAGACTTCACAATTAACAGCCTCAATAATTTATTTATATATTTCTGTTTAGTTATGTAACTATAATAAATTACAATAATTTCGAATTATCATAACCTCGTAACTACCAATAAAGACCAGTTCAAAGATGAGCTAGGTTACTCATCGTGTGTTGAAACGTGTAGTCTATTCAGGTCATACACGTGGCATTGTGAAAATCTGCATGCTTAATCATCCAAGATACGGAGTTCCCCATCTATTTCTGTCGGATCTTTCAAGCAAAATTGCACAAAAGGTAAATTCTTTTATCAACAATTTTTTTATTTTATTATGTTTATGTTTCTACTTTCTAATTCACGCTAATTCCATATTATGTGATGAAAATCATTCATGGGTATGTGTTAAAGACAATTCGTGGCATAATTAACAGAGAACATTATTGGGTGACTGTGACGTGATTGCGATTTGTTTCGTGAAATTTGAGGATCCATATTTAACAATTTATTATATATTTTCTCAATTCTTGATTTTGTTTTTTCATTTTTAATTAAATGTTGAATGATCCACTTTATGAAGAATGTCAAAATTATAGAATTTTCCCTTCAATAACCTGTGATCCATTGACATACTTGGTCTGAAAAGTTAGTTGATTGACAGAGTGAATTTCGACATTTAGAACTGTAAGAAGCATGCATAACTTAGATGGGAGCTAATTGTTGATTGGTATTATGGTTATTGAAGGGCAATCGATTTAGTGGTAGATATGGCGCAGGTGAAAGATGCATATAAAAGTTCAAAAAGTGCAAGCTATGATGATTACTTTGATATGGTTCAATGCCGAAAGAAGTTGCCACATTCATTGCAAGAGACTCTAACAGATGCATTTGCGAAAATTCCAGTTTTGTCGTTCCCACAAGTCCCCGGAGGCAAAGGTTGAGTCTATAGTATCTGATTTTCATTTCCTTAGGATATTGAAATTTGAATTCTGATATTGGTTTTGTTAAAAATGTGTTGCAGTGATCGAGATTCTAGCAGATACAACTATCGGCGATGCAGTGAAAATCTTATCAGAATCCAACATTCTCTCGGCTCCCGTGATAAATCCTGATCAAAGAAATAGTATGGATTGGAGGGAGAGGTACTTGGGAATCATTGATTACTCCGCCATTGTTCTTTGGGTGCTACAGAATGCGGAAATGGCAGCAGCTGCTTTATCAGCCAGTTTAGCAGCAGCTGCTGGGGTCAGTGCAGGTGCTGCTGGTGCTATTGGGGCTCTAGCATTAGGTGCAACTGGTCCTGTGGCTGTTGCCGGACTGACTGTGGCTGCAGTTGGGGCAGCTGTGGCTGGGGGTGCGGCTGCAGATAAAGGAATTGGGAAAGATGCCCCAACTGCAGCCAATAAACTCGGTGAAGATTTCTACAAGATTATCCTACAAGAGGAACCTTTTAAGTCGACCACGGTAACTGAAAAACATATGAATTTCCTTCAAACATCATTATCTCATTTCTACTTTCTTTTTACGTCCTTTGAACTGCTAATTATAAAATGTTGCCTTCAATTTTAGTAATGCTCATGATGATACTTTTACAGGTTAGGTCAATCCTGAAATCCTACAGATGGGCACCTTTTATACCGGTTGGAAAAGATAGTTCGATGTTGAGCGTTATGCTGCTACTCTCGAAGTATAGGCTGCGGAATGTGCCTGTGATTGAAACAGGCAGTCCATCTATTAAAAACTTTATCACTCAATCTGCAGTGGTACAGGGTCTAAAGCAATGCAAAGGAAGGGATTGGTTTGATTGCATCTCCACCCATCCTATATCCGAGCTTGGACTTCCATTCTCGCCCCCAGATGAGGTTAGACAGCACTGATTAATACTCGAGCCGAATTTTCTTTAGATAACCCAGCAATTGACATTCCACCGGTGCTTTTGGTCAGGTTGTTAGTGTCCAGGGTAATGAATTGGTTCTGGAAGCATTCAAGAAAATGAAAGAAAACGGAATTGGAGGTCTTCCCATTGTTGAGGGGCCAAAAAGGAAAATCATTGGCAACCTAAGCATAAGAGATATCAGATTTTTGTTGCTTAAGCCTGAACTTTTCGCCAGTTTCAGGTAGATTCTGTAGAAGTATTTAATCTGCATTAACACTACCTCATAGCTGCAAAACACGATTATCTTGAGCTTGAGCTTGAGCTTGAGCTTGAGCTTGAGCTTGAGCTTGAGCTTGAGCTTGAGCTTCATATTGGTTTAAACTCGATTATGTCCTGGTTGCAACTCTAATTGATGAAAAACGGGTAAAAAGACAGGTATTTACATAACTTATAGCAGTTTGTAGTGTTTTAGAAAATGCATCAAAATTCTCCCTATTGGAGAAACGGTCCAAATTGGAATTTGTGTTTTTCTTTTTCTAAATTCTGAAATGTATCCCTATATTATTGCAGGGAGCTCAGTGTCAAGGACTTCATGAGTACTATTGCTTCAGCAACAAATGACACTGGAAGGATTATCACACCAATAACGTGCAAACCTGAGTCGACTTTCAGTAGCGTGATAGATGCTCTTGCACTGAAGTCAGTTCATAGAATTTATGTGGTGGGTGAGGAAAATGATGTAATTGGTGTGATTACACTCCGAGATGTGATCTCCTGCTTCGTAACGGAACCACCCAACTTCTTCGATAATTACTTCGGGTTTGCTGCACAAGAAATGTTAAGTTCTACCTCCCGTGACATTTGAGCACGTGGATCTTTATGGAGTTTTTTTTTGGTTATCGGAGTTATTTCATAAACACTTGTCCATTGAAATATCACATATTTTATGGACAATGCTGTATTCTCAGTATGTATGTATATGATGTTATTCTCATAAATTTCATAAAAACAGATTTAACGTATATTACTGAGAGTTTTCAGGCTAATTTGATAAATCATGTGATATACGGAGATTTGAGTTGCATATGAAACAAAGCGAGCAAAGCTTCTTACCATAAAGGTTGGCTAGAGGTCGTTATCGAGACACATAAGTCAATGAATAAAATGTGATACTATAACATTATCAATTACAAGGTAAGCAATAGAAGGATGCCACCTGCCATCTCTCCTAGAATGATCGAATTGCCCCAAAACCTTGAATGAAATCTATAAATTCTCCCATATAAGAGAAGAAAAGCATGCAAATTCAAATATATTCCTCCCAAATAGTCATTTCTCCTTCTACTTCGATTTAAAAATCAAAACTAGTGAGTTTGGGAGGCTAAAATTCTAACTAGGTGAGAGGAATTTGTTGATCCGATTTCTGTCGTCAACACTTATAGGTGTTTAAGCTTGGTCTATCACATATGTTCTTGTATTTTTTTTTATAACAAATAATCATTTTCTTTTATCTAGCCATATTGATGTACAATTATTAGAACGTAACTATCCATAACAGGTTAGCAAAATGAATAAAAAAGAGCCTTGTTTCGTTGTACCTTGTTATAGCTACGAAAAGAACAATTTCTTCTATGCATGTTTCCATACATATATACAATTTATATACAAGTTTCCATGTACTTTGAAAACTTCTTGGGATCAGTGTGTAATATAGGAGCGGCTTGAAATGGTGGTGGCCCAAAGGGAGTGGACTTGGAGTATATTCTTGGGCTTGATCCTGGGGAATGTAGGATGGATTACATTTGTGCTTTTGAGTAAAATGGTTAACATCCTACACTAGTGGACTTACTTTTTTTTTTTTTTCCCAAAATTATCAATTTCTAGGAAAATGAGGAACAACTTTTAAGAATGTAATGAAAACTAAATACACAGTTGTATATATACTCTGCCTTTTTTGCTTTACCTTGATATTTTTTATTGAAATGGTGGATTATGTATGCTCCATTTGGTAGATAAAAGATTGCGGAAATGGAGAAGAAAGGGATAAAAATTATAATTTTCACTTTTCAATCAAAATAACAAATCGACTCTGCTGCCAAGTGGCTTTTTTTTATTTTTTTTCCCCTCAAATTAGGTTTTTAGAGGGAAACGCCCACTAGTGCAATGTTGAAGTCATCTAAACTTTAATTTTGGGAATGGCATGCTGTCATGATTTGTTTTCAAGCTATGGCCCGTGTTTGGTTCCCATTATTTCAATATTCATTTTTTCTCAAATTTATTTTCAACAACACATTCTGATAATAAAATATTTTACACTTAAAACTCAAACTTTTTTCGACTTTTTAACCGCACCTTCTCCATTCACTTTTACAAAACTCATTTTGATGAAATAATGGGCATCAAGGGGCATAATATGTATTGAGTACATGCTTAGTTTTTCTTAATTAAAATGATTATGAAAGCATGTTAATTTTGAATAAGTTCATTGATTGTTGCTTTTAAGCAAATGGACTGTTTTACCTAATATTGAGATTAGTATGTAAATATATTAATCTTGTGGATAAGAAAATAGACATCCAAGAGAGCTCCAAAATCTTCTGTTGAAATTGTATGAGAGTTTGTTATTTATGAACATACTCTACAATATCAGATAACCACAGGAGTTCCCTCAAACACATCAGTGGATATCGTTCTCTAAAATGAGTACTCAATGAAGTGGGGTCAAGGGAACTCTAGCGTAAACCTGATATTTTTTTGGTATTGGTACACGAATAGGAATGCATACTACAAGAAATAGGGTCAGCCATCTGCTCAATATCCACATATGATACCACTATATCTAGTAACTTAAGTAGTGTAAAGTTTGATATGTGTTTTAGCACGAAGCTGATGAACCTTGCTTCAATTATGGGATAAATGAACATCAGAGAATCAGAATCCAGGCCACTGTCATTTTCAGCAAGAAAAGGTACGCTAATTTCTCTGCTAAATATTCTGATCTTCTACACAACAGAATCCAGGCCACTTATATCTGAAAAATGATGGGCTCAAAGACGAAGGTTTTACTATTATTCTCTTTTCATCATTTATCCTACATTCCTGGCCAGGTTCAATGACTTGAATGTATTTTACCATGTATTCATCAGATGAAATATAGTCGTCATATTTTTGGATTCTTCTCCATATGTTCATTTGCATGCATTCAACATTATTATATATAGGTAATATAGCAAGGCCAAAATAGCAAAGGAAGAGCGAGAAACCGTCTGGTTTGATCTGGAGTTCCCTCAATACACTTCAGAGGCTATAAGAGTTCCTTTACCGCTTAGGGTATCGATAGCAACACTGAAGTGTTTGGGGGAACTCTAGGTTTCACATGGCATTATCAAGTGATTATATGTCTATTAATTGGTTGTCAATACATTGGGTTTCGTTTGGAATCACCTAACATAAAGAACTATCTATATAAGTAATTCTTGTTGCTGTGATAAACTTTCTCACAAGGTACTCAAATAGGAAATTAAGTTCTTTTCACATCTCTTATTGAAAGACTGAAAGGGCTATTTCTTCTATGTTTGTCCCAGAATTTGAGTTTTCTTCACACAATGCAAAATGCAAAGAGTGAACTTCCACTGTTCCAAGTTGGATGGAATCTTGCTAGACCAATGGAATATCCATGGCCAATAAAGACACAACCGTAGCTAGCTGATGCTCCTCCGTACACGGTGGCACCAGTGTTGAATGACCACAATATAGCTCCGGTCCTGGCATCCATAGCATAGACAGGGCCACTAGGTGCAACTGACCCTGCAAAAAGGACTCCATTCACTATAGTGACGGGCCCATGGGCAGTGTCATTGCTCGGATTAGCTGTGGTCCAGAGAATTTCCCCGGTATTGGCATCCAACGCCACCCATCCACCTGCAGTGGTAGTTAGAGCAGATGGTTGGAGGGTGAAGGGGAGGTTATCGCCATTGACTATGTTTGTGTACACCCGTTCTCCATCAGTGGCTGCACCCCATACTCCTCCTCCTTCCAAGCTTCCTGGCCCTGCTTTCTACAAAATCACAAGAAAAACTTCAGTTTTCCACTTAATTATTTGTCAATCTCACTTTGAGTTCATAACGACGCAGATTTTTATTATAACGAAGAAGACTGCAGTTTTTAATGCTTCTCACACACAGCACCAACCCCTCAAGATCCTTCGTAAGAATTTTAGGACTATTCCTTGTATCAAGGAGCAACAATTCTTTAACTGAATCACAAAGATATTTAGGCATGTTTAGTGCATTGAATTTGATCGAACAATGAACAAATGTCTCATATGTTTCTCTCGTTAATCCTGTTTGATCATTCTAATCCATGGTACCAAATATGCTGTTAACGGTGGGGAATAGTAGAACTTACTTTGAGCCAAACAATATCTCCATTGTCTCGATCCAAAGCCCAAGCAAATCCACTTTTCTGCACTGCCACAACAACATCTCGCAATCTTCTCTTCGGCTTGATAGTAAGCAGCATTGGTGCCTCTCCAAAATCAGCATCCAAATTGGGTCCGGGAGGGCAGTCAGGATTATTAGGAACCAAACATGCAAAGTAGAAAATATCATATCCTCCGAGTTGCTTAGCCCACACAATCCTCCCTGTATTAATAGCAAAAGCCAGAAGTGAATTAAAATGAACATCAGACCCGAAACACTGATCAGGTTGACTTGGTGGTGTCGTTCGATTATTCTGCACCGCTTGACACTGGAGGACGTCTGACGGAGCTAGGTATAGATTGCCAGTTCCGACATACACAAGGCCTCTGGATATGTCAATGGAGGGGCTGCTACCCCATATAGCCGCCCCTGAATAGCCCCCGAGTTTGCCACCGTTGTCCGGCAGGGTGTATGTTTGCCACAATATATTTCCATTTTGTATGTCTAGCTTCACTAGACTCCCCCGAAATGTACAGCATTGTCCGGCTGGTAATAATTCTTCTAGTGAAGAAACTCCCACATAGAATGCCCTATGAGAAAACAATAAGAAAAAGGAATGCTGTATTATTAAATCATTTGAATCTTACTGTACATCAAACTTGAAAAAGTGACAAATAAGTTGCAAGATACAAAGCAACTTAGTAATATTTTATAGGGTTTTGCTACATGTACTTTTGAATTACACTTTGGATTTCTCGGATCCATCCCTTCCCTTACATGGGGGTTGGGTCCCACGCATTTATTGGATGTGGGACCCTACCTCCATGTGAGAAAGGAGGTGTGATCGAATAATCCAAAGTGATTGAGTATCATAATTCTATTTTATAAATCATATAACTTGTTGTTATAATCAGTGATAGGGTCGGTGACCGAGGTGGCTTCATCTCAGCCCTTGATCAGAATTGCAACAGTAAAAATCAAGGGCTACCTCGGCTTCATGTTTTTTGGTCGGTCATCGATCTTGTTACATTAGATTTTTGTTTATTTAATAGTGTGTTTGATGGATATTATTTTGAAAGAATGTATTTTGGAATAATAGGTTGATGAAGAATGTGTGATTGAAAATGAGTAGAAGAATCAGAATGAAAATTTTTATAGGTGTCCAACAGAGCTTAATGGCAAAAATGGTTAACTATGACAATATTCAAAGGTTGAAAAGTCAAAAATAGTGGCTACATGAGAAAAAGTCTATTTTATCCTTGAATGGAGAGACGCAAAGCCGCAAAAGTAATTCTGCTCAAATAATTTTAGGGTAAGTTTGGAAAATAGCTCCATCAGACGGGCATAGTGTTTTTTATTTTTTTAACTCGATGCATTGAAACCGGAATTTTTTTTATAAATTTCAACGAATAAACATCCTTATTACTTGTTAATTTCTAGGTGAAAAGTGTAAAAGCTCCTGAAGGACCCACGAAGTTCCAATTAATTGAATCTTGCTTGTAAGTTTCGCAAAGTTTTTGAAATTTACTAAAAAATTGAAATAACCCTTTTTAGATTTTCAAAAACATATTTTAGCAACTCGATTCCTGAAACATTTCCAAAGATGAGTACTTGCACTGATCTCACCCTAAATATCCAGTGTTCATCAATGATGAATAACATTATTATTAGTTTTATCGAATTGCACAAGAAAAACAAATAAATGAAGTTGCCTAAAGAATTTAACTAACCCCGAGTAAACTGTTCCAGATGCTGTCACCAGGCTTAGAGGACGAGGATCCACCCGAGTAGACCATAAAAATTCTCCGGTGGAGCGCCTCACAGCAACCACATACGCCGGCCCGTAAATCCCAACAATTAGAATATCTCCGGCCACTACCGGAGTGGATCTAGAGACTGTTACATTTACATATCTTCCCGTCGGAGGTATCCCTGTTATCTGAGTTAGATTTTGTTTCCAAATAAGCATGCCATTTCTGGCATTCACAGCGTATAAGTTTCCGTTCCAGGAGGGGAAGTAGACTACTCGATCGGCAACTGCTGGAGTTGCAGTTATGTCGAAGCCAGCTAAGAATTTCCATTTTAATTTCAAGTTTCGTACTGTGAATGGGTTTATCAGCGGTGCTCCAATGGCGTTTCTTCGGTTGGTTATGTCGCCTCCGTGATTGAGCCACTGCATCCATGGAGAAAATGGCGGTTATATTTGTTTCTTGTAGTTACAGATTCCAAGCCAAGGCACGTGATTTAAAAAAAAAAAAAAAGAAAAAGAACGTATAAAGGATATTCAATTCAACACAGTACAATAAACATGGCTCATAGTAGTTATACATAATTGTAACTTGAAAGTAGATGAGTATATGAAATAAAATGGGACAACTCATAATTTGTCAGTGTCCTGGTTTGGCCGATGTTAGAGAAGCCACTGGACTAATAATTTTCTTTCTTTAATCCCCAATTCGGAATAGCCTAGAGTTTTCTTGGGGATGATATGTAGGATACTAAGAAAATCATATGGAATATGAAAATCTGAATAAACTACAAGCCATGTAAATCGTTATCTTTTAAGAGATGTTTCTCTCATATCCAAAGATGTCACAATGGGGTTTAAATGAAAATCTCTTTCAGAATACAATGGAGGTATTATATTCAAATTGTGACGGTTTGATCAAATCAAGAAAACATTATATGAGAGAACTGATGATGCCAAAGGAACGAAAGAAAAAGTAGAATGAATATCTATGTTGTATCTGCAAATGAGCAATATACTTAATAAATAAGGAGAAACGTATCAGTTGAAATGAATAAGTGTGTCTGTTGGAGAAAAACTGTTAACTTCCAACAGACACAACTCTTCTACACATACCCGTTTCGAAGTGGCAAACCATTTGCATAACAACAATTAACAAATAAATAAATTATGAAAAAATATCAAATACGATATCCTAGGCTTTAAGGAAACGAGAGTCAAGCCATGATGGCTTTAGAACTCATTTTGCAATTAGGTTTTACACGTCCTTTGATTATAATATCTATAACTAAAGAGAAAAATGAAAACTTCAGGCAAGAATTTGTGCTTACTTCTGCACTTGAATTATCCACAATCAGAAATATAGACAATGCCAAAAGAAGGGCAGGGATAATGCCAATTATGGGACTAATAGCCATTGGGTCAATCCAGTATGAGCCAGAGACTGAAAATAAGCTATTAATAAGTGGAATATATATATATATAGATAAATGCTTGTATAATAAATAACCATAGATAGAGGCATAGGACGGCGCCAAACTGGCCGTTAGTCTTAAAAACCTAAAAATGTACATTAACATATAGAAGTACAGAACTTTAATATACATTTTTCTCCACTTTTTCTGCTTATGAAACTGTTTTATTACCAATTTAGAAAGTGACGTTAGCAAATAAAGTTTTCACATGTAACAGACGCCATATCCTTAAAGAAACTGAGATTCGCCTGTTTATCTGGATGATAGTTACAAATCGACTAGCAGCAGCCCACGAGTTTTGCTAGGCTTTACTTTAAGCGACTACTTGTTTATATATTTATATATATATATATAATTAAAGAAAAAAATGTTTTTTCGACATTAGGCACATGCTTATTCGAAAATAAATAGTTCACAAGTATAGATACTTATAAGTAATATGTTGTCATAATTGAAATTAAGTTGAAACAATATGTATTGAAAACGAGAATGATAACAAGGCGACCAAATGAAAGAGTTGTAATATGGTAATCAAGCAACAGGCTACAGCAAAAGGAAATAGCTGCGGCACCACTTATTAAGGAACAATTCATATGGAATTTATGCAGTAATGTAAATGATACTCGAGTCAAGGATCTGCATTTTACCTCTGCAGTTGTGATCTTACCATAAGCGTCAGGTTTTTGGAATTATTTTTGGAACCCTGATTTATTCTCTCGTGTGTGTATATCGTTTGTGCAAAACTCGTAACTGTACGAGATTGTTGACAAGTAATAGATGTGATGAGAAGAGTTATCTTCCCAAACGAAATAAATTTTAATTCGAGTTTACTAGTTTTGTATGAAATTCGATATATGTAAAATAAAAGAGTTTTTTATTTAAGCTTGTGTTTGAATCTCATTTTTATGAGAATAGAAATTTTGGAATAGTAATTGATGTGAGAATGTGTGGTGAAAAAGTGAGGACAAATTTTAGATTTTTGTGTAATATTATTTTATTTGGAAAATGTGTGGTTGAAATGAAGAAAGAGAAAAAAAAATGAAAATGAGAATGAGAAAAAAAATGGTGTCAACCATAGGCTAATGATTATGCTAAACTATTCTAATAAAGATGTAAAAGTTTGATTTTTTATCAAATTGTGGATGATTGTATAGGATTTAGGGTCTGCCTAATGTTTTCTATTTTGTAATCTAATCATATTCATGGGTTCTTCAAAATCAATAAAATTATGATATATAATTTTTTTCTAGATAAATTAAATATATACTAACCACGACCCAAATCTATTTCTAACTCGAATTCGAATGATTAGAATGCATTAAATTTTTAATTATCTATATGATTGCACATGATAAATGTTATTCATAACATCTATTGCACATATATTAATTTTGTCACTTTCTAAACTTATTGTGAGTCTTCTAACACTACAACAAGCAACCAATTATCTAATTGATGACCAAACAATTAAATAATGTAATGAGAATACAAAATTAATCAAGAAAACAAGAATTATTATACTATTAGTTTGAACTAAAATAAATAAACATATGATTCATCTTTATCCTATACAAATAATCTAGCTAAAGATGTTTCTGATGATAAAACAAAATGAAGAATGGAAAAGCATCACTCGGATATAAATATAAGAAACAGATGTCACGGTCTAATTCTTGATTTTGATTATCAACCTCATCTCCAACTTCTGACGAATTGGCCCCTCATTCTTGAATTATTATTTTTATATGGAATTGATTTGAAATGTGAGAGAGAGATCCTTCAATAGTTGATCACATCTTCTATTATATAAGGTGAAATTAGGTAAAACATTATGTCTAATTTGGATTCCAAAACAATTTCAATCAAAGAAGCGCAACTGATTATATCTCTAAATAGTCGTCAGTATTTTAATCATTTCTTTATTTCTTGATATTCGATTAAAGTGATTCAAAGTGAGTTACAAAAAGATAACTCAATATAGGGACGACAACGGGGCGTGTCAAGATCGGGGTAATTTCCTACCCCACAATCCGTTTAGGGAGAGGCGGTTGGTAGGGCGGGGCAAGGCAGTCCTTGCCCCGTTTATTACCCGTTAAATTTTTTTTTCAATTTTTTTTATTGTCCAAATTCATTTTAGTTTAGCAATTGCTTTAAGCTTGAAATAAATCTGAATCCTTTGTAATTAGGCAAGACGTACTGATTTTTTCTAATAAGTTCCCTAAAAAATTCTTTTTCTTAATCTTGTTACCATTGATCATCACACATAAAAAGAATATTAAATATTTATGTTTTAACCTTTTGATATAGGCATGCAATTCAATCTTGATACCGGCCCACGTGCAAATCAAGAAAATTATAGCAGCCCACACTAAAATCATCAAATTAATCTACTTTCCAGAAATGTTAAGATCATATGGAAAAAACAGAGGAGAAAATAGGTTCAAATGAGAAAGAAAGAGACAAAATGACGAGAATACCCTTCACTTAGAGAAATTATTATTAATATTGATGACTTATGATTTAGTTATGTATATATTTTGGCGAAAAGGTTGGCGCCCTCGTGCAAGTCAAATTTCGTCTGACGGGCCAAAATTTTCTTTTTTAATGAAAAATCTTTCGGAACACAAATTGAACGCAATTTTGGACAGATTTTTGACTCCTATAAATACTAAATAAGGGCTACACATTGAAGATCCCTCACTAGCCACTTAATAGATATTAATATTATCAAATTTATCAAGAACAAGTGGTCAATTGCTATATTTTGAGAGAGAAGATCAAATTTTAGAAAAAAATAAAAGGTCAATGAAAATTTCGACATTGAAATTGAATATTAAGATCATTTTTATTCTTTCATGATTCGGGTGATATTTTTCTATTAATCTTCTTATAATTTATATAAAATCATGTTATGCTATATTCGTTTTTGTATTGGATGAAGATGAAATCTTATTTTTTTTATGTATTTTAATTCAAAACTAATAGTTTAGTATTTCTTGCATTTCTTGATTAATTTTACGTTCTCATTGCATTATTTAATTGCTTGATCATCAATTAGAAAATTAGTTGCTTGTTGCATTGTCGGAAGTCTCTCAATAAGTCTAAAACGTGACAAGACTAACATGCGTGCAATAGAATTAAGTAGAACAATATCGTGTGCAATCATATAGAAAATCTAAAATTTAATGTGCTCTAATAATTCGAATTCGTACTAGGAATAGAGGTTGTGATTAAAATAAAATTAATTTATCCTGAAAAACAATGTTAAATACATTATTTTTATCGATTGTCAAGAATGCATAAATGAAATTAAATTGCATAATTGAGAATTGAAATAGGTAACAATAAACGAATTCGAAATCCAATACAATCATCCATAAATTGGTAAGAACAAAAGCTTTTTAAGTATTTCTTAGATTAATTTAGAATAATCACATAATCATCTCTTTTCTTTTGCATAATTTATATTTGATACAAAATTAGTGCACTTGAATTGAAATTTATTCCTCGTTGGATGATAACTTTTCCTATCACATCCATTAATTGTCAATAATCCCTATGCTTGCGAGTTTCACACGAACAAGCTTTTGGAGTTGTTTTCGGGGAATAAAGTGTTTAATTTGAATTTATTAGTTCATATAGGATTCAAAAGATTTTTTATTAGTTGTTTTAGGCTATTAACTACATAGCTATTATCTCTTTTATTTAATTTTCTTTTTCAAATGTTGTATGGCTGTTTAGGCAAATATTATAAAGAAATCGAGTTCCTATCATTGGATCTCAAGATCAAAAGGACATTCACACAACAAAGACAATAATAGAGAGAAGCAAGAAGAATGATAAAAAATTGAAATCAAATTCAATTACCACCATATCCACCAGCACATCTAGTTCTGCCAAGAGCAGTTGCCAATGAAGACGGAATATTAGTACGAGGTTATGTGATTCCAACTCTAG